CTACAATTACCTTCTACCCAAACCACAGAAAGACATTACTAAGAAAGAATTACAAACCAATCTCACTCATCAACACTGATGCAAAAATACTAAATAAACTACTGACAAATCGAATCCAAGAACACATCAGAACCATCATTCACCATGATCAAGTTCACTTCATCCTAGAAATGCAGAGGTAGTACAATATATGAAAATCTGTCAACGTAATCTACCATATAAATAAACTAAAAAATAAAAACCACATGATCATCTCATTAGATGCCAAAAAGCTTTTGACAAAATACAACATCCCTTCATGATAAAGGTAATATACATGATAAAGGCAATATACAGCAAGCCAACAGCCAACATCAAACTAAACGGAGAGAAACGCCCAGTGATTCCATTGAAATTAGGAACAAGACAAGGTTGTATATTTATTCAATATAGTTCTTGAGTTCCTAGCTAGAGCAATAAGACACCAAAAGAAGATCAAGGGGATACAAATCAGAAAGGAAGAAGTCAAACTCTCACTGTTTGCTGATTATTTGATAGTTTACATAAGCAATCCCAAAAATTCTACCAAGGAACTTCTAAAACGCATAAACACTTTCAGTAATGTAGCAGGATACACGATTAACTCAAAAAAAATCAGTAGCCCTCCTATACACAGATGATAAAGGGCTGGGGAAGAAATCAGTGAATCAACACCCTTCACAATTCCACAAATAGCATAAAATATCTCAGAATAACTCGAACCAAACAAGTGGAAGACTTGTATGACAAGAACTTTAAATCTTTGAAGAAAGAAATTAAAGAAGACACCAGAAGTGGAAAGATCTCCCATGCTCTTGGATTGGTAGAATTAACATAGTAAAAATGGTAATCTTACCAAAAAAGCATCCTACAGATTATCCAGAAAAATTCTTCAAAGACCTCAAAAGAACAGTATTCAACTTTATATGGAAAAGCAAAAAAAAAAAAAAAAAAACAGGATAGCCAAAACAATCCTGTACAATAAAAGAACGTCTGGAGGCATGACAATCCCTGACTTCAAACTCTACTACAGAGCTACAGTACTGAAAACACCCTGGTATTGGCATAAGAACAAACAGGAGGACCAATGGAATCAAATAGAAGATCGGGATATCAATCCACATATCTTTGAACACGTGATTTTTTACAAAGAAGCAAAAAATATCGAATGGGACAAAAAAACATATTTAACAAGTATTGCTGGAATAACTGAATAACAACATGTAGAAGAATGAAAATAGACCCATATCTATCACCATGCACAAAACTCAAGTCCAAATGGATCAAAGACCTCAACATAAATCCAGCCTCACTGAAACTTACAGAAGAGAAAGTGGGAAGTACACTTGAACGCATTGGCACAGGGAACCACTTCCTAAATATCACCCCAACCGCACAGACACTGAGGGAAACAATTAATAAATGGGACCCCCTAAAGCTGAAAAGCTTCTGTAAAGCAAAGGACATGGTCAACAAAATGACAGCCTACAGAATGGGAAAAGATCTTCACTAACCCCACATCAGACAGAGGTCTGATCTCCAAAATATACAAAGAACTCAAGAAATTGGTCACCAAAAGAAAACATAATCCAATAAAAAAAAATGGAATACAGACCTAAACAGAGAACTCTCAACAGAGGAATCTAAAATGGCTGAAAGACACTTAAGGAAATGTTCAACATCCTTAGTCATCAGAGAAATGCAAGTCTGAGATTCCATCTTATACCTGTAAGAATGGCCAAGATCAAAAACACTGATGATGACTTATGCTGGAGAGGTTGTGGGGAAAAGGGAATACTTCTGCATTGCTTGCTGGTGGGAATGCAAGCTGGTACAACCCCTTTGGATGTCCGTGTGGTAATTTCTCAGAATATTAGGAAGCAACCTTTCTCAAGACCCAGTAATACCACTTTGGAATATATATCCAAAGGATGTTCAATTGTGCCACAAGACATGTGCTCAACTATGTTCATAGCAGCTTTGTTTGTCATAGCCAGAACCTGGAAACAAACTAAATGCTCCTCAACCGAAGAATAGATAAGGAAATTTACACAACGGAGTACTACACAGCAGAAAAAAAATCTTGAATTTTGCATGAAAATGGATGGAGGTAGAAAACATTATTTTGAGTGAGGTAACCCAGACAGAGAAAGACAATTATCACATGTACTCACTCATGGGTGGTTTTTAAACATAAAGCAAAGAAAACCAGCCTACAAACCACAATCCCAGAGAACTTAGACAGCAATGAGAACACTAAGAGAAACTTACATAGATCTAATCTACATGGGAAGTAGAAAGTAGAAAAAGACAAGATCTCCTGAGTAAATTGGGAGTTTGGGGACCTTGGGGGAGGGTTGAAGGGGAAGGGGAAAGATAGGGAGGGGAGCAGAGAAAAATGTAGAGCTCATTAAAAAATCAATAAAAAAGGAATAAAAGGGTCAGTAACAAGTCTAAGCTATCAGCCAAGCATTTATAATTTAAAAAAAAACTATTGACAATAAGAACAAATATTAAGTGTTTTTCAGACATAAGAAGAGGTAAAAACGTGCAAAAAAATTAGAACAACAACCAGCATGAACAATATCAAGCAAGAAACATATGCTAGATGTACAGTCTCAGGTAATTAGCAAATAGCATAGATTATTTCAATAGTTATTCTACCCTGAGAAGTCTAAGTCTTATATTAAAAATGGCTTGGCTAAGTCATGAGAGGAAAGTAAATGTGAATATCTAGTCTTCAACCCCATCAAAGACCTGAGAAGGGAAATAATATTAACTGAGTAAGCAGGAAGTACATCAAGCAACTTCCAAATGGTACAAGAAATGACAGAGACAACCAGCTACTTTGGGCAATCACCCTATGTCTCATTTGCAACATTGGGGTAACCACCTTTGGCTGAGTCCTACAGTATATAACAGACCCTTTTCAGAGGCAGGAAAATTTGAAGACTATCTTACCCTATCTTGGCAAGGTTCAGAAGTCATTTTTGCTTGTATCCTTCTTGTCCAGATTGGACTCTATGCATTTTGTCAGTAGTCAAGGCAAGGGCAGTTCTTTGCCCAAAGGCCAGTATTGCCAAGAAGAAAACAAGCTCCAAGTAAAGTGTCTTTGATGCCCAGCATTCTCTTGAGAGTAATCAGTGTTGCCATGAGAAATTGTGTCTCACAGCAACAGAATCCTGAGTTATTAAAATGTCATTCTCTATAGTTCTTTGAAATGTTTGAAGATTACCTATCCATGCAGAATACAACCTCTGTGCCTCTAGAGAACCTGACTAGTCTAACTTTAAGTATGATAAACGTGGGTGACTATTGACCTGTAATTCTTAACAATTATATAGCTTAAAAACTACAATTAAATACTCTTTAAACAAATATGCAACAAATGAGGACAATGACCTCAAACTGTAAATAATATATATAAATATCTTGATCAGAGATAGAAATGCAATATGATAAATATCCTAAGATTGCATCAATATACAAAATATCTTAAGCAGAGATAGAAACATGAATGCATACAATATGACATAATAATTTTACGTATATACACAAATATTGTAAACAGAAATGGGAGCATATTAAATATAACAAATATAATTTGAATTTGTATCAATATACAAGAATCTATACCAATGTAAATTTCTATAACTAATAGATCACAAGTCGATACACTAATTTACCTAAAATTCCTTTTCCATTTATTCCTTTTTTTTTCAAAAGAGATCCCTGAGCCTACTTCATATCTACCCCCAACCATGTACAATTTATAACCAATCCCTAACAGATGACAATTATCCCTAACCCTGATGACAAACTTTGTTAGGAAAGGGGATGTCATTTTCTAGAATTATTTCCCACTGTCATGGTATGTGGGATCCTGTAAAAACTGAAATGATGGTTAAATTTCACAATTATTGTCTGATACAATTGCAGATAGTATCTGAGTAGTTGGTACAGTTTTTGTTTTTTAAGTTCTTATTTGAAGTTCTGGCCAGAATGTTGTAAGAAGGTACACAACTTGCCACATTAGAGTCATCTTGAGAAGTTTATAGCCCAAAACCAATCTTAGAGTGGTGCTGTCAGCATAATGGCATCATCTGAACCAGGTGAAATCATTGTTGTGGGGCCCCATCTTCTTCCTGGAAACTTCAAAGATTACTCTAGAAAATGTATTCTTCATTGTGGAAAACTTAAACATTATTCATATCAAAATGGAAAGTTTGAATTTCTATAGACATGTGTTTAAAGAAAGGTACCATAGAGACAAAAATAGGTAGAGGGAGAAGCAAAATTTTTGAAAGCAGAGTTTTGATAACCTTAGTCCCTAGATTTTATCTTCCTTCTGTCCCACAACAGGTAGCTCCTGACATAAAACAGAAACTCGTAATTTTTTCTTTTTTAACAACATACTTGGATTTAGAGAAATAGAGTCACCGTCCAACTCTAATGTCAGCTTTGATTTTTAAGTGAGTCAGGACTGCCATTATACTGAGAAGTAGGGAGATACGTATGTCTAGGCAGTGAGATTTTACCCTGCAAAGATGCAAAATTGGGCTTGTAGTTAGGGGCAGAGAGGATGTGATGTCCACCGTAAACAAGGCTAGTTAATGATGAGAATGATCCAACCAGAAAATAGAGCCCGTTTCAAGACGATGAACAGCTTTCATTCTTATTTCTTTTTTTTTTTTTTTTTTTTTTTTTTGGTGGGGGTGTTGAGACAGGGTTTCTCTGTGTAATAGACCTGGCTGTCCTGGAACTCATTCTGTACACCAAGCTGGCCTCAGGCTCAGCAGAGATCCACCTGCCTCTGCCTCCTGAGTGCTAGGGTTAAAGGCATGTGCGACCACCTGTGCCTGGTCGCATCTTTCATTCTTAACAATTCTTCATACCATCAAGAAAAAATATACAAGTGACATACCTGATCCAATTTTATGCAACATATTTTCCCACCTCCTCCCACCCCTTAGTTTTACTACCTCTGATAACTGGTGTCCCAAATGTTGTGTTGAGTATATCCATTCCTTTAGGCAATCCTGGTGTTTGATCATGAGATTTTCCCAGTGGTGCCCGTTGATTGCTAAAATATATAGATTCTTTTTTGTCTTTAATTTTCTGTTGAAATGTGGTAATGGGCTGTGGGTTTACCAATGTGCTCACCTAAAGAAATCATATAATTTACAACTATCAAAACAAGTATATGTAAAAATAAAAAGAAAACAAAATATGATTAAAGAGATATCTCGTCTTCATCATTGGCTTTGCTCACCTTCCTATGAACCGTAATCATAATCAAAATCAGTAATGAAAATTTTAACACACCAGATCTAGAACATGCAGCTAGGACTATAATCTCAGTTCTTGGGGGAACTGAAGCACGAGGATACCAAGATCCAGGATAGACTAGGTTACAGAAAGAGTTCAAGGCCAGATGGAGATAGGATTCAGAATTAGAGTACTCATGGTACTGTAAGTTCATACCCTAGATTCAGAAAAAGAAAGAAAGAAAGAAAGAGAGAGAGAGAGAGAGAGAGAGAGAGAAAGAAAGAAAGAAAAGACATAGAGATATAGCTCAACAACATAGCACTTGCCTACAGTCACAAGACCATGGATTCTATCCTTAGTACTAAATAAATAAGTAAATAAATAAAATCTTTCAAAGTACTTAAAAAGTCTACAGTAATACTAAAAGGCTTATGTGAGGAGTTCCCAAGTGATTGACTCAAACAGCAGGCATGACAATCACAGGACACAAACCATTTGCATCCCAGAATGGGCTTGATGACACAGTACTGTAATACACTGTAATACTGTAATCCCAGCACTTGGATAGTATAAACAGGAAGATTGAAGTCAGCCTGGACTACAGAGTAAAAAAAAAATGCAAATAACAAAAGATAAAAACAATAGAAAGCACCAGGGTATGGTGGCATATGTCTTTAGTTCCAGCACTAGGGAGACAGCGGCACATGGTTCTGAGTTCGAGGCTAGCCTGGTCTACAAAGCTAGTTCCAGGAAATCCTGTCTCAAAACAAAACAAACATACAGAAAGATTTAAGAAGATAGAACGCAAGAAACAGGGAGATAGGAAGAGAAAGAAGAGAAAGACGCTGGACACAGTACATTGTCTCAAAAACAAACCAAAAAGGGCCGTAGAGATGCAGTCATAAGTAAAGGTGTTGTGGGATATTTATACACCTTGTGAAGATATATTGTTATGATTGGTTTAATAAAGACTGAACATCCAATAGCTAGACAGGAAGGGTGAGACTTCCGGGCAGAGAAAAGAAGTAAAAGGAGGAGATAATCAAGCTGGAGAGAAGATGCCAATATGGGGGAGGGGTTGAGACCAGACATATAGAATGAAAGAAAGGTAAAAAGACATGAGACAAAATGAAGATTAATATAAATGTGTTGATTTATGTTATAAGAGCTAGTGGACAACATAAGCCAAAGCCTAGCTTTCAAAATTAATAATAAGTCTCCGTGTCATTATGTAGACTGGTGACCCCCACAAGAAAGCGTGATACATAAAAGTACTTGTCACAAACACCTGCCGATTTAAGTTTGATCCCCAGGATCCATGTAAAAATGGAAAGAGAAAATCAACTCTATTGTCCTCCCTACATGCATGCCCACACACATATCACACACCTCCAGTGACACACACGTAATTATTAATTAATTAATTTTTTAAAGGTTAGGGAGCTTGTTGCCAAGATTGAAGATCAGAGCTTATTCCCCAGAAATCACTTGATGGAAGGAAAAAACTGACTTCCCCAAGTTCTCATCTGACCTCCATGCATGTTCTCCACTCACGCTGTAGCACATGTATACACACACATACACACAAATGTGGGGAAAGGTTTTTAAACAAACAGACAAAAAAAATAGATTAATCAGTGTTCAAATAGAAGGTTGGCGATTGGCGTCAATAGTAAGTAGTGTATAACCAGCTCACATGTGACCCTGAGTTCCAGCTTTAGACTCACAAAAAATAAATAAATAAAATTAAACAAAAGGCAGATAACAGATACAGAAAGACAGACAGCTGGCAAATAATAAAGTTAGACAATTATAACCAGATTGCCAGTACCAAATACTTTCTGATCCCGTGTCCACTCAGGATCTATATATACTCTCTATTGTGCCTCTAGGCAAGAACAGCCAGTCCTGTTCTCTTAAAGGCTAACATGGTGTGACATTTCTCTTTACTGGGGAAATGGGACGCCACCGCCTCAGACCATCCGAGGAACAGTTAAGTCTATGGTTTAACTGTTTCTTTCACACGTTCTTAGTTGCTGCTGCTTGAAAACCCAGTTCATTGGCCAAGATTAGCGTTTTTAGAGGACAGAATGAGGAAAGAAAATACCCACAGGAATTATAAATTTCACTTATACCTTTATCTGTGCAACTTTCTAACTTGGTAAATTAATAATACAATGTAAATTAATAAGGAAGAAAAAGAAAGGTTTACCGGTATTGAAATTTTAGTTCTTATTCCATGTGTCAAATAAGGTGCAATTTGGGGATCATTTGCTCTGCCATAAAATACTCTTTCTTCTCCAGGAGGTGGATATCTGAAATTGAAATATTTCTTTGCCTCTGGGGGAGTAGTAAGCTGGAAAAGGTAAGACAAGGAAATAAGACCATGAAAAGGTAAGACAAGGAAATAAGACCATGAAGCACAAGTTCTAAAACACCAATTCAACTTCTCTGAACATCACCCCCAAATGAGGACATGTTCCTTAAAATCTGTTTACTGATGGAAATACAGTACTTTAAACATTATAGTTTGAGGGGCAGAAGAGATGGCTTGGTCATGAAAAGCATTGTTGTTCTTATAGAGGACCCAGATTCCATTCCAGCATCCATATGGTGGTTCAAAACTCTGCAACTCCAGTTCCAGAAGATCTGGCAATCTATTCTGACCTCTGTAAGCATCAGGCACGTGCATGGTACACGGTCATAAATGCAGAGAAAACACTCATACACATAAAATAAAAATCAACTTCAAAATACTTTTTAAGATTATAATTTAGGGGGCTGGAGATGGCTGAGTAGTTCTGTTCCCAGCACCCACATCAGGTGCTCAGACATAACCACCTACCATTTCAGCTCCAAATGATTTAATGTCCTTTTCTGGCCTCCATGGTTCACTGCATATATGTGGATAGATCCACGCAGGTGTGTGTGTGTGTGTGTGTGTGTGTGTGTGTGTGTGTGTGTGTGTGTGTGTGTGTTTGTAAACAGGCAACATCCAGGTTATAGCTCATCTCATTATTCCTACTGATATACATCAAATCCTAAAGTTTTTCTGGTAAATTACAGGAAATGTAAACTTTTTCATTTTCTTGGACAAAATCAACAGATATCATCAAAATACAATAAAATATAGTAGAAGTTCAAAATTGACTGCATTAAATCTGTGTACTGGTTCACGAGAAAGACCGTCCAGTCTCCTGTAGCTCTTACTCAAGGTACAAAGAAAGACTGGGAAGTGCTCACCCTGGGAAGTTTTTCCGTCAAACAGGTTGCAACTCTGTATCCAACTGGCTTAACTTTTCCTGCCTTAGAGGGAGAAAACATTGATCATTTTAGAATTTAAAAGGTATATTAAAAGAATGGACTTGACACCAAACTTGGCCTGTGCCTCAAATACTACAAAGGATATTTTTTAATCACAATAAAATAAACAATTAAGTAATTAATAAACAAACAAAAGGCAGAAATTCATCCAGTAATTCTGAGACATCCTGAGGCATTTACTTGCCTCCAACAGGGTTTCTTTTTCTGCTTTGTTTAGGTCTGGGACTGGCTTTGTAGACTTGTGGGAGGATTGAAGGGAGGGGGAGAGGCAGGGAGGGGAACAGAGAAAAATGTAGAGTTCAATAAATATCAATAAAAAATTTATTGTTCATTGTGGAAAACTTAAACATCATTCATATAAACATACATTCAATGAAGAATACGATACAGACAAAATAGGCATGGAGAAAGTAAAATTTTTCCTAAAGTCTTCCTTCTGCCCTATACCACATCCCCCCCCCATATGAGACAGAAACTCTGTATGTTCCTTTTAACAACAAGCTTGGATTTAGAGAAGTACAGAGCCATTGTCCAACTCCAAAACCAGCTAAATATATTAATATATATATTGTGGTGGGAGCACATTCTGCTCCTTCAGCCAACAGCCTTTAAGATACCAGCCTACTTGGGCATAGTCTCTTATACTGTAAAAGCAATAGTAAATGTGTGCCCACTCTCTTGCTCCTGGCTCCCGCTTCTGCTGCTAAACTCTATTCCTATTCACACAGAGGATTGTTGTCTAGGACAGTAATCTGTAAGTTTTCCCCTTAAATAAATAACCCTTTTATTATTCATAATTCTGAACTGGTGTGGAATTGTTTTGTGAGTTATGTTATCATCTGGCACTCAAGCTACTTCAAAAGGATGATGGGCATTGAAGAGGCTCTTTATGGGGTTTTTTTAGGCATTTGGGCAAGAAACTGCTCTTGCCTGGACTGCTTCACTGGACATGTGGTACCTACAGAGAAATGACTGCTGAACCTGCCTGAAGGTGAGATGGTCCTTCAGGGCTCCTGCTTCATGAAAGAGTCTGCAAGACATTCTTCAGGATACAGAAGAAAATGACTGAACTGTCTTGAAATTTCCTGCTTCATGAAAAAGTCTGCCAGATACTATGGGCCTGAAGGCTGAAGATGGATGCCCCAACAGTACAGAAAAAATTTGGGTGCCTGTCCAGACAGCAAGATGTCTCTGTCATTTCTAGAGTTTGGGAAGTTGCTTACAATGTACTTCCTGTTTACTTAGGTAATATCATATCCTTCTGGAGTCTTAGATGGAGCTGAAGAATTTATAGTTATAGTTGTCCTTAGTTAAGATAAAAGATAAAGTAGATATAAATATTGTAACTGCAATTCTTATTTGATACTTGTTTTGTTATATGTAATTTTACTATGTTAAAATTAAAACCTTCCTTTTTATTTAAACAGAAAAGGGATATGATGTGGGAATCCCTTCTGTGTGCTGTAATTACCACTAATGAATAAAGAAACTGCCTTGATCTGTTGATAGGGCAGAACTTAGGTAGGCAAGGAAGACTGAACTGAATTCTGGGAGGAAGAAAGCAGAGTCAGGGAAGCATCATGGAGCCACCAGAGACAGACACACTGAATCTTTCCTGGTAAGCCACTGCCACGTGGCGACGATTAATAGAAATGGGTTAAATTAATGTAAGAGCTAGCCAATAAGAAGCTAGAGCTAATGGGCCAAGCAGTGATTTAATTAATACAGTTTCTGTGTGGTTATTTCAGAGCTACTCTAGCCGGGAGACAAGAACAAACAAGTGGGCCCTCTCTAACAGTTCATCATTGAAGGAAGTCAGGACAGGAACTAAAACATGGCAGGAACCAAGAATGGATACAGAAGCCATGGAGGAGTGCTGCTTGTTGGGAATCTCCAGCTTTGGGCTCCATTCCAAACCCCATCAAGATGTTCACCTGGACACCTGGCCCCACTCCTCCCATTCCAGGTCCCCACCCTCAGAAAGCCTACCAAAGGTGGAACCTTCCCCCCGTAGCCATCCAAGAGACAGGCAGATCTCTATGAGTTTGTGCCCAGCCAGGTCTACAAGAGCTAGGACTGCAACAGAGAGAAACCCTGTCTTGAAAAGCAACCAACCCTTCCCCCGAAAATAGTAATACTCTGAACTGGCTAATTTTATGTCGACTTGACAAAAGCTAGGGTCTTCAAAGCAGAGGAAGCTTCAGTTGAGAAAATGACTCCATAAGACCAGGCTGTCGGCAAGTCTGTAAGGCTTATTCAGTGATGTTTAGAGAGTTCAGCCCAGAGTGGGTGTGCCATCCCTGGGCTGGTCACCCTGGGTTCTCTATAAAAGAAGACTGAGCAATCCATGATGAGCAAGTCAGTAAGTAGCACCTCTCCATGGCCTATATCACCTCCTGCCTCCAGGTCCCTGCCCTGACTTCCTTTGCTGGTGAACTGTGATGTTAAAGTATAAGAAAAATAAACCCTGTCCTCCACAACTTGCATTTGGCCATGATGTTTCATCACAGCAATAGAAACCCTAATTAATCCCAGCGAAAACTTTGTTATTTGTCTCTCCAAACACAAACAGGCCTCACCACTGTATCATTTCAGTAAGACATGGCTACCACACATACAAGAGGAAATTCTAGGAAAAACAAAAAACAAACAAACAACAACATGAACTTACACTTGGCCAGCAAGGCATCCGGTCAAAGAATTTTCCAGAATATATGGGTCTGATGTGTGCTGGAGCCTCCACTCCAGGGTCCATGGCCGTGGGTTCCTGTTCCTCCTCAGGTTGTTGGGCAAATGGGCACTCAGAAGGTTCTGTTACTAAGCCTATTTGAGGCTCTTCATTCTTGGATTCACCTGGTTCCTGGGTTTGTTGCAACCCAATGTCTACCTCCTGGGAGGGCTTCTCTGCATAGGGGTTCACCACAACACAGCTGGGCTCTTTCTCCAGTTCTTTTCTGAGTTCCAAACCCACAACAGGCTGCTTTTCTGCTATAGCCTCTGTCCTTGCAGGTCCACAGGTGACAGGCGTCCTTGTGCTCCCCGCCGCCTGTGGACTTGCACACTCTGTGCCCAAAAGAAAACGAGGCAGAAGACCCTCGTTTTCTGACCCCACTCTTCCTGGTAACACACCCAGAGGTTTTGGTCTCTGGAAAGGGGAGCCCCTGTGGCATCCTAAAGTATCCAACTCCATAGGCGTCCTAGAAAGAGTACGTCTTTCTAATCCTACTCCAAGAGCATGGCAAGGCGGCGATTTTGTTTCTGGTGATGCCATCCTCTCCCTCCACCTTGGATTTTGTTCTAGTCTCATTTCAAGCCCCAGGTCCGTGGAAGATTTTGAATCCCCAAGTGCCCTCTCTATTAAGTCGTCCTTTTTTTCCTGGGTGAGTCCAACCTTCATGATTTCTGGTGTCCTCATCCTTCCCAGAGAACTCATCTTTAACGGGGAAGCTTTATTTGGCTCTAGGGAAGTTTGAAAAGCTTTAGGAGACCCCACTTTAGGAGTACACATTCTCCCTGTACTGCCTGCGGACTGTGTCTTGCCTGCTGCTTTACACCTCAGGGAAGGAGAGTAGAGTCTGTTTACCTCGTTACCTGGGAAACAAACGGGGCGGGGCTTGGCGAGCAATTCGTGGTAACCCAACCAGTCCTACTCTCATTCATAATGCCTCATTCCTTTTTCCCAAATCCCGGTTTCTTTTTCGTTTTTTTTTTTTAAGAATATTATTTTAAATTATGTGTATACGTGTGTGTGTGTGTGTGTGTGTGTGTGTGTGTGTGTGTGTGTGTGTGTAGATGTCCTGAAAACAGATGCGTTGGGGACTCAGACACTGAAGTTACTAGGAAGTGCGAGAGCTAAGAGCCAACCAAACTCTCCGCAAAAGGAGAAAGATTTTAACCGCTGAGCCATCTCCCCAAATCAGTCTGTGTCCACGTCAAATCCCCAACACCTCCCCCACACACCTCCGGGTTTCTTTTTACTTTAGAAGGGCAAAAAAAACTTGAGGTGATGTGGCTTTTGGATACTAAACCTAATGTTTGTGGAGTTCACTTCAGTTTCCCAAGTTATACAGTCCTGTTAGGATGGTTTTAATAGACTGAGCCAGGTATGGTGGTGTATAACTGCAATCGCAAAACTCAGGAGGCTGAAGCAGAGGGGTGGTTGTGAGTTCAAGACCAGCTTGGAGTAAAAGAAACAGGGAAAGAGGAGCGAGAAACAGACAGAGAAATAGATTCAGTTCTGAAGGCCTCTTCACTGGTGGTCTGGGATCAAATACTTTGTGGCAACAGCTTCTTTTAGGTGTTCCCTTGCCCACAATTATCTCCAGTGCTTAGAGTTATCTTAGTGTTAAAGAATCAGGAATGGGCACTGCCAATTATCACATGCCTTTAATCTCAACACTCAGAAGGAAGAGGCCAGAGGATCTCTGTGAGTTAGTTCCAGGCCAACCTGGTCTACAAAAGAGGTCCAGGCCAGCAAGGCTACTTGTCTACTGAGTGAGACTCTGTCTCATAACCACGATGCCTACAAAATAAATTTTTTTAAATCACACACACACTCATTCTCCCTACTGTTGACACTGCAGCCAGACAGCCTCTCCTCTACTTAGCTCTATCTGCAGCGCTAAAGAAGGGCTGCAAGGCCAGGGAGACAGATCACCACATAAGAGCACCTTCTACCAAATCTGACACCCTGAGTTCTACTTGCAGGACCCACACACTGACTCCCTAGAGTTGCTCTCCACATGTGCCCCATGGCAACCTCTCTCACCCCAAAATAAATTAAAATGTAATAAAAAATTTTAGAAACTATTTTAAATTCTAGAAAGTTATATTTCACAGTAGGAGTATGCAATTATCTTCTTCTTATAGGAGCATTTCAAAGTCCTTAGACAACTAGGCTTCAAATTATATTAAGTGTCCCTGTTAAAATTTGTAGGCCAGGCATAGTGGCACAAGACTGTAACATCAGCACTCATAAGAGAGTAGCTGCACATGCAAGGCCAGCTTAACCTGCATAGGAAGACCCTATCTCCACCAAAACAGTTGAGCTGTAACACAGTAACACATACTGTATTTTATAACATGACAGCCCAATTTTACTGCTTTTAAAGGTGGGATAGTCCATTAATTGGAATTGCATATTTTTTTTCCTTAGAGATGAGATATACTGTAATCCAAGCAGGCCTCTACCTTAAAATTCTGTATCAGCTTCTGAGGACTAAGGTTATACATACATGTTGTCAGAGCTTCTGTCAGTTTCTTTTCTCCTGGAGAAGGGGTTAGAACCAGGGACTCACACATGCAAGGAAAGTGCTCAATCACTAAGTTATACCCCAGCCTTTTTACATTTTGAGACACGCTCTAAGTTCCTTAAGGTGGCTCTGAATTCTTTCTGTAGCCCATGTTGGCCTTGAATTTGTAATCCTGCTTCTTCAGCTTCTATAGTAACTAAGATTATATATAAGACTGAAAGATTTTTGTTTACTTGTGAGTACATACATAGGTACCTGCAGAGTCCAGAAGAGAATGTTGGATTCCTCCAAAGCTGGAGTCACAAGGAGTTGTGAGCTGCTGACTTGGGAGCATGGATGTGCTCAAGAGCTCTGTGAGGTTTAACCACTGAACCATCGCTCTATCTCCACACACACACACACACACTGCCCTTTTGTTTTGGGTTTTTTGTTTTTTTCAAGACAGGGTTTCTCTGTGTAACCCTGACAGTCCTGAAACTTGCTCTATAAACAGATTGACATCAAACTCAGAGATCTGCCTGCCTCTGCCCCCACCCCCAGTACTAGGATTAAAGGCGTACTCCACAATCTCCTAGCCAGGATAAAATTTACATGGAAGAAATTGTCAGGATGATACTTATGTCTCTGCATGTTAAACCCCACATGTCAAATGAATTAAATTTCAAAAGAAATTAAAAGACTGTTAACTGAATAAACAAAGAAGGAAGAAGACAGAATACCAAATGCAGCTTCCCTTCCCCTCTACCCACAGCTCCTGTGGATTCCACACACCTTCCCCTCCTAATCTCCCTCTTCCTTGCTGCTCTAACTCCAGCAGGCAGACCACTCCTCCCAGGAAAACAGGTAGGCTGTCTGTAGATCTTCCCCTCTCCTTCTGCTCCTTTAGAGTCAACTCCCAGTCTCATCCCCATCTCTATAGCACACCCTACTCACTGTCTTCCCATTCCAAGCAGACACAATAAGCAGATCCTGACTGAACACTTTGCTCTCCTCCCCACTGCAATCCCCTTCAGACCCCTAGCCTAACCCCATTCCTAAGTGTCAACTATCAATACCCAGAAACACATTTTATCTGCAACCTCCAGTGGCCACAACTATCAGGTCCAAAGAATATTTCCTATCAAGCACACAGCCATCATACTCTCCAAAAATCCAGACAAGAAACAGAAACCAAGGAACAAAACACCTAACCAACAGAGACAAATCTAGAAATCATCACCTAGACCTATAGTCATCCCTACCCCTGATGCCTAAAAGTCAGTGTAAAAACCGTCATTAATGGCCAGGACACCGTGTCTCCCCTAGAACCAAGCTATCCTACCACAGCAGGCCCTGAATACTCCAACAAAGCACAAGAAAAAGACCTTAAACTGCCTGTATGAAGATGATAGAGGTCCTTAAAGAAGAAATTAATAAATCTCTTAAAGAAATCCAGGAAAACACAAACAGTGAAAGGAAATATATAAAACTGACTAAGACCTGACCTGAAAATGGAATAGAATCAGTAAAGAAAACCAAAACTGAGGGAATTCTGGAAATAAAAAGTTAGGAGTTTTTAAAGGAATTGCAGAGGCAAGCTTTACTAACAAAATACAAAAGATGGAAGAAAGTATCTCAAGCATTGACGATACAATAGAAGAAATGGTCAAATACATTGATCAGAGAAGATTTTAAATCTAAAAAAAGTCCTGACACAAAGCATCCAGAAAAATCTGGGATTCTAGGAAAATATAGGAATAGAAGAAGGATAAGAATTGCAGCTCAAAGTCAGAGAATTTTTTTCTTTGCAATGGCTAAAGAAGCTCCATTTTATGTTAGGCATCCATCTTGGTACCCACTGGCTGTTTGTCTCTGACTCCAGTCCCTGAAAGATGAGTTCCCAGTAACCGGAACTCAGTGACCTCCATCCAGAAATCTATCTACTTGTTACAATATGACTAACTGTGTTTTTGGCTTCTGTAACTTGCTTACACAGATACCCAAAGATTGTTTTGAGTTGCCTTAATCACTTAACTTCGCTGAACACAGCCAGTTTTACTTACTTACAAAGATAGTGAAGGTCTTTGTGTGTTTTTCCCTTTTAAAAGTCTTTCCCCATACCCCTCCTATACAGCAATTTCAAATTTGACTCAAAGATTGTTCATCCTACTAGAAAAAAATCTACAAATTTTTAATTACAATTGGATTGAGTCTACAGTATTTTCCCAGGGGTTATAAATTCCGCTACATTTGGAGGCCCCAGTGAGATCCCTGGGAAATCCCAAACTCAGAACCAGAGGTCTGAGCTAGGCCCCAGAGGAAGCATGTCCAAGGTGGACTTGACATACCCTGGGGATCTCAGACTGCAACTGGCCCAAAGTTACAAATTGAAAAGAATTGCTGGCCAATGTACTACTGAAGTACTACTGAAGCTTGGGCAATTGGTGAGTTTTCTATTCTGTTTGGAGTCTGACATTTGAAGAGACAGAAGGCAAGCTCCGACAACATTGTAGACCCAGTATCTGGGGCAGACTGTCCTTCTTGTTTGGGTGTATGAGTGAAAGAGATCACCATGTCTGGGTTCATCTGTTTATTTGTTTGTTTCCAATTGTGTTGTTGTACTGTGTTTTTCTGTTGTTCTCTGTTATCTGTTCGATATAGTACTCAACACAACCAAACTTTCTGTGAGCTCCATGAGACATTTTCAGGATTTCTGTAAGGTAGACTGTTCCTGGCTACCTCTACACTAGCCCCACTGAAGTTTACACTGTCTTTTCCCTCTCATTGGCTCACAGGAAGCTGCTACTTAAGTTGCATGGCTACATCAGGAACTTCTCTATGCCCTCCTGTTTGCCTTCACTCTGTGTCTGAAGGATGTCTTTTTCCAGGTTGCCCTGTCTCCCATCTGGCTCCTATCTCCATCCATGGAAGTCTGGCTGAGGCTACTCCCTAACTGCTGGGCTGGGGTGATATGGGTGTCTGGTGTGCAACTCTGGTGGGCATCATAAACCCCCTGTTCTGCTGTCTACAACTCTCTGTGCTGCTGCAGGTGGCCTGCATCCAGAATTTCTTATCTCTAAGCCTTCTTTGTACTCTGCTTGCTCTGTCTCTCCCTCTGTAACTGGATTCAGTTTTGTAGGGTATGTTTAATATTAAAATATTGTTTTATGGTGTTCTACATTATTTAAAAACTGACTCGGAAGTTGGAATGTGGCTTCCCTCTTCCAACCAACCTAAGAATAATAAGAATAGAGGAAGGAGAAGGATCAGCTCAAAG